TTTCATGTGCTTACATGCCAACTGCATATTTTCTTTGGTAAAGTATATGTTCAACACATTTACACACTTTTAAAATTTTTTTTATTGTTGAGGTTTGAGAGTTCTTTATATACTCTGATATGTCTTTATCAAATACCTGATTTTCAGATATTTCTTACATTTTGTGGCATTTTTTTCATTCTATTAGTGGTATATGTTGAAAAGCAGAAATTGTTAATTTTTATAAAATCCAGTGTATCTATATTTTTCTATTTATGGACTGTGCTTTAATTCTAAGTATTTTATATTTTTGATTGGCTATTGTAATTCATAGTTTTTAAAAAGGTAATTCATGATTGTTGCTAGCATATAGAAATATATCTGATTTGTAAATACTTATCTTGTATCATGCAAACTTGATAATTCATTTATTAGTATGAGTAGCTTTTTCATGGATTCTGTTAAATTTTCTATACAGGAGTCAACGTTGTATGTTTTAAGAAAAACAGTCTAATTCTTCCTTTCCAATCTGAATACCTTTTATTTCTCTTTTTTTGATTTATTGCACTAACTAAAATCTCCAATGCAATATTGAGTAGAAATTGTGAAAGTGGATTTCCTTGTCTTATAACTGCTTTTTGGAAAAACATTCCCTTACCGCCACTACACTTTCTAGACTCTGGTAACCCTCATTCTCCCTGTGCCTCCATGAGATCAACTCTGTCTCCATGAGATCAACTTGGATTCATGAGACAAACTCCACTTACTCATGATGTTTTTGGATGTGTGATGTATTGTTAAATCAATTTACTGAAATTTTGCTTAGAATGTTAGCACTTACATTCATAGGAACCTTGTTTTCTTTTCTTGTAACGTTTTTGTATATCAGTATCAAGGTAATGTTGGCCTCATAAAATGAATTGGAAAGTATTTCTTCTGCTTCATTTTTCTAGAAGAGTATGTATAAAATTGGTATTATTTTTCCTTAATTGTTTTGTAGAATTCACCAACGAAGCCATCTGGGAGTGGAGTTTTCTTTGTGGAAAGTTTTTAACCACACATTCAAGTTCTACAATAGATATAGGATTATTTAGGTACTCTATTTCTTCTATAGTGAGTTTTGTTGGCTTTGTATCTCTCATAGAACATGTTCATTACATTTAAGTTGTTAGATGTATTTGCATAAAGTTGTTCACAATATATCCATAGTATTTCTTTAATATCTATAAAATATTCAGTGTTTTAATTGCTCTCATTACTGTTATTGGTCCTTTGTGTTTTCTCTTTTTTATTTCTGATCAGTTGGACTAGCTCTTTTTATTCATCTTCACAAAGAACCAGCTCTTGATTTAATTAATTTTCTCTATTGGTTTTATGTTTTCTATTTTATTATTTTCCACTCTGCTCTGTATTATTTCCTCTCTTCTGTTTACCTTGTGTTTAGTTTGTTCTTTTTTCCCTCTCATTTCTTAAGGTGGAAGCTGAGGTCACTGGTTAGAGATCTTTCTTCTTTCCCGGTACAGGAATTTAGTGCTATAAAATAACCTCTAAAAACTGCTTTAGTGGTATCACACAAAGTCTGATACATAGTGTTTTACATTTTCTTTTTGATTTTTTTTTAACTCTGTACTCTTTAATCTTTTCAGTACTTCTTTCTCTGGCCTCAGGTAGCTTTATCACCTGCATGTGTCTGTCAGCACCGTGCTGAATACTTGAGAGGAACCCTCTGCAGATGTCCATAGTTCTTTCTGTGTGATACTCTTCTCTTTGCTACTCTGTCTTGTGAACGCTGCTCTCCTTGATTTCTCTTGAGCTATTCTCCTCAACTTAGGTAGTTGTACTCTGCCTGGGTTCCTTCTGTCTGAATGATGACCTTCATTGTCTTATATCCACTGTCTTAACTTTAATATATTTTGTTCAGTGTATTGGTCGTATGATTGAGAGAACAAATCTGTTCCCTATTACTCTATTTTAATCAGAAGGTGGCAGTATTCTTACTTATTTTTTTACAACTCAGTACTGGATGTTAAAATCAATGTATTGAGTTATTACATGCATTCAAGAATGAAATGGTGTAGAAGAGGATATATTAGTTTATTCTATGTACTAAGGGTAAGGAAGTTTTGTATTGTGACACTTCTTTTTTTGTTAGTACATGCCTTTATGTATGTGTTCATTGGGTTGTGATATAAAAGGCATTTCTTATTGTGGATCACGGTCAAAAGAGTTTGAGAAACATTGCTCTAGGTACCTCATGGTTCAGTGCAGGTAGGAGCCTGCAACACTTTGTTTCTATGCCTGCATTGAAGGGATCTGGAAAAAAATCATCTCTATATTGTTCATCTGAAAAATGTTCATCATCTCTTACAAAGTCGTGATCTGAGAATCCTTGAAGTGATCTCTGGGACATATCTTATAGGTCTTAAAATCGAGATAGATCCACAATTCTGTCAGTTAAGAAATAACTACTGAACGCCAATGTGTTCTAGACACTGTCCTTGGAGGTGTTGAGTTAACAGCATGAGTAAGTGGGAGGCCCTCTCTGGCCCGGTGCTGAAGCATATCTGGCTACTAAATGAGACAGAAAGTAAGGCAAGGTTTTAAGCAGTGCTATGAGCACTCGGAACACAAGGAAGATTTGAAATTTTGAAGGTGAGAAGGAGCGTGTCTGGGGGAATAATCCAGGTTCTTGCAGAATTAGAGGTTAAGAAAGTAAGATCTCAACTTTATTTTATTTATTCATTAAAAATACACATATATTTTAACACCTATGTCCTTGAGATATATCAATGAACAAAATAGACAAAAATCCCTGCCTTCGTGGAGTGTACATTCTACTGGGAGAAATTTAAAATATATATGAGATAAGTAAATGATCTGTCCAAAAGACAAACTGCTATGGTTGAAATAGTAGAGCAGAAGTAGGGTGATTAGAAGTAGGACCGCAAATCCTAATTTTAAGTGGGAGACAGTCAGTGGAATATATTTAGAATTCAACTATAATAGTAGCATATATTTACTCTAATAGAAATTCTACAAATATTCCAACATAATTGGAATCTTGTGGTGTACAAACCACCGTAAAACTGCCTATTCTCCATACCGCATTGAGACATGCTGCAGCCACTAGGGCGCAAATGGGCCCTTTCTTAGAAAAATGGGCTGAGAGTATGGGAGTGTGAGAGAGATGTGGGTAATTATGCACACACACACTCCTTCCTTCCCCAAGTGTTCCTCAGGGGCTTCTCCACTTAAGGGGCACTGACAAGACAGGTGGAGTTTTACGTGCGTCTGAGACCAGGTCATTTTTGCCCTTGCTTCTCTTCCTTGGCACGTCCTCACCTAGCAGAAAATCGAGAGAGGCCCTGCTGAGGAGTAAACTTCAGCCTGGCCGTTCACCACTCAAAGTGTGTTACAGCCGGGCGACAGTGGTGAGACAGACCTGCTAGCCTTGCCTTCGGGACCTGCAGCAAGATTTTTGGGTGCTGTCCAAGAATTCCCGCGGTAACACTCAGCGCCCAGAATCTGTACAAAAAAGCCCCACTAGATGTTTTACGTTCCCTTCGTAATATTTAATGCTTGGCCTAGATCCGAGCATTCACTCTAAGGTTCGGTTTCTCGATCCTTCCCATCCCCAGCCTCTGCGGGTAGATCAGTGACTGTTACTATATTTTGAACGAGACTCCAACCCATTGCTCTCTCTGGAGCGGAGGATTGGCCGCCTTTTTCCCCGGGCCGGACCTCGGCGAGGCCAGGGAAGCCGCTCACTGGCCGGGCAGGGACGCGCAGGCGTCGGGCGCCGCTGGTTGCGCATCTGGCGCCAGAGCGCGCCCCCAGCGCTGTGCCCGCCGCGACCGTGGCGGTGGGCTGGTGCTCCGGAGCGTGCCGGGCGCTCTCTCCCCGCGCGGGGGCACCAGAGCCCTCGGAAGTGTCAGGCACTGCGGTGCATTTTCCCAGTTCGCTTTTAAATGACTGCGGAAAAACAGATTCCGAGCCGCAAAAGGGAAGACGGATTCTCAGACAAGGCTTGCGAATGCCCCGCAGCCGTCATTTAACTGCGCCCGCAGAACAATTACGGTTTGTCACCCGACCCTCCCGGATCGCCTAATTTGTCCCTAGTGAGACCCCGAGGCTCTGCCCGCGCCTGGCTTCTTCGTAGCTGGATGCATATCGTGCTCCGGGCAGCGCGGGCGCAGGGCACGCGTTCGCGCACACCCGCGCACACATGAACACGCGCAAGGTACGGCAGGGGAGCAAGGGCTTGGGATGCCCTGCATGGGGGTGGGCATCGCGGGGAGTGAAGCTACGATCTGGGAATGGCTACATCCCGACAGGTTAAAGGATGAGAGAAAATGACGCGGCGCCACACATCGGACAGGCCAGGGTGGCCACCGAGCATTTAGAATACGCATCAGGCGCGCTCCCTTCCCCTCACATGTCTCTATTTCCCGGGCGTGTGATGGCAGAAAACGGCAGGAAAAAGACCCACTTAGAGAGCTAGAATTGTGTTTGGAGACTCCCTTTCCTCTGCAAAAGCACCAACAGGAAGCCCCTCCAAAACCACCGATCCCCAAATAGGTGGCCCGGAATGGGGGCGGTGATCCTTGGTTACCAATGCAGAACACGTTTTGGTGTTTACAACATTTATTTATTTTTAGGATAGCTTGCCCTCCCTTTTAGGCAGGGTGGGAAAGGAGAACGCGGGGAGGGAGAAGGGAGGGGAGGATTCCTATAATAAGAATCAGCGCATTTTTCAGAGCTGAACCAAGCACGGTTTCCATTTCAAAAAGGGAGCCAGCCTCTACCGCGATTGTAGAAGAGACTGTGGTGTGAATTAGGGACCGGGAGGCGTCGAACGGAGGAACGGTTCATCTCAGAGGTACCTGGATGTAAATTCAGACACACACACACACACAGAGGCACGCGCGCGCGTGTCTACACGGCCAGGATGTGTGCGTGTGTGCGTGCGTGTGTGCGCGCGTGTGTGCACTCCCACATGCTGCTGCTGTCTGCTTCTGGCCAGTGGCACTGATGCCTCCCTCCTCCCTGCTCGCCCCCAGATTCCCCTCCCCTCCCTGGTGCTTTTGTCTGGAGGGTGTTATGGGTTTGTGTGTGTATGAGCGCGTGTGTGTTTTTGGATTTCAGACTAATTTTCTGGAGTTTCTGCCCCTGCTCTGCGTCAGCCCTCACGTCACTTCGCCAGCAGTAGCAGAGGCGGCGGCGGCGGCTCCCGGAATTGGGTTGGAGCAGGAGCCTCGCTGGCTGCTTCGCTCGCGCTCTACGCGCTCAGTCCCCGGCGGCAGCAGGATCCTGGACCCAGGCGCCGCCGGCGGGCGTGAGGCGCCGGAGCCCGGGTGAGCAGCGCAGACAGTGCCCTCGGTCGCCTCGGCCCTCCCTGTCTCCCCCTGGGGCGGCCTCGGCTACTCCCCAGGTGGGACGTGCCGCGCCACCTGCCCGCGCCACCGGCACCCAGCGGCCGTGGCGGATTCTGCAGCATCATTCGGGGCCCCCGTCGCGGAGCCAAAGCTGCCGGCAGTCTCCGCATTCCCCTTTAAAGGGTCCTTCGCCCGGCCTGTACCATGGAATCCTGTCTCGGGGACCCTTTCCCTACCTCCCCTCCCTTGGCCTCAGGCTCGAAGAGAGAGTGGGCACACTGGTGGCTCCAGCGGCGTCAGTGCCATCGCGGGGCAAGTTGATTCCTGGGCTGGAGCTGGGCACTCATCCATCCACAGTCTCCCGGCTGGGATCGGGGTGGGGATGACGCGAGCGCAGAGGGAGAGTGCTCCAATTAGTGGTGTTGGGGGTCCTACACTCAGTCTTACGCGTATCTGTTTGTCCTCAGCCTCGAGGTGCATACCGGACCCCCATTCGCGTCTAATAAGGAGCCTGCACCCCAGAGAGTCCCGGGAGCGCCGCCGGTCGGTGCCCGGCGCCCCGGGCCATGCAGCAACGGCCGCGGCGGAGCTCCGAGCGGCGGTAGCGCCCCCCTGTAAAGCGGTTCGCGATGCCGGGGCCACTGTGAACCCTGCCGCCTGCCGGAATACGCTCCGCTCCGGACCAGCTCAGCCTGTGATACGCTGGACTCCGCGCGCCCGCAGCAAGCACCGAGGAGTCAAGAGAGCCGCAAGCGCGGGGAAGGCCTCCCCGCACAGGTCGGGGAAACCGGCCGGTGCAGCGTGGGGACACTCACTTGGGCTGGCACTGGCTGCTAGGGATGTCGTCCTGGATAAGGTGGCATGGACCCGCCATGGCGCGGCTCTGGGGCTTCTGCTGGCTGGTTGTGGGTTTCTGGAGGGCCGCTGTCGCTTGTCCCACGTCCTGCAAATGCAGTGCCTCTCGGATCTGGTGCAGCGACCCTTCTCCTGGCATCGTGGCATTTCCAAGGTTGGAACCTAACAGTGTAGATCCTGAGAACATCACCGAAATGTGAGTTCCTGGAGCTTTTCCTCTTTTTTTCTCCTTACCCCTAGGGCCCGGGCTGGCCAGATGGGTAGGTCCTGAAAGTGAATGCTGTCTCAAGAGTGGGGAGAAGTCAGAGACAAGAGATGCAAGACAGGGTCGTCTGTCAGTTACCTGTCTGTTTCACTGGCTTGGGACTGCTAGTGCAGGAGAAGTGTGACACTTTAGGATAAGTTTTAAATATAGATATACATATGCCGATTATATATGTATTCCTCGTGGGAAGGAACTCACTATGCTTTTTATATTTCAAAGCTCTGCTGGGTGTGCTTTAGGCTTTCCGCATGCACTAACTTAGTTTTGGGCATTTTTGTTTCATAAAGTGCTGTGTGTATGTTGTGTTAGAAGTTCCATTAATATTCACTAGAAAAGAGGTTAAAATAATTAACTTTCCCGAATCTGTTGAAGGAAGTGACAGTCTCTCCCTTAACATCTTTTTTGAGGTTTGAGTTAACCACTTTCCCTTTTCATTTTATATATCAGATTTTGCTTAGGAGATGGCATCCAGAGATGGCCTTGAAACTGATCTGTAAGAGGAGAAGTTCTGAGTGTTGAAATGCACTCGCTCAAAAGAAAAAATGTGATCGTTGGAAGCCTAAAAGCCTGGTTTGATTTAATTTAGACTTGACTTCCCAGAGATATGATTTTGAGACCACTTGGATTATAACTCTTAATTGCCCATTGAATAATTTCCCAGGACTAGGCTGGATGATAAAGTAGTGGGTAGAACTCTGATGAATGCTGGCTTAAGCATTGGACCCCTGTATCCCTGGAAATGTTTGAGCTTGTTGTGGCTTGAAGAAACAGAACTGTGTATTTCTTTTCTCCTTTTCTGATGCTTTGTGACAAACACATTACCAAGCAAGAACTTGCCAGTCCTTTCTCTAGCATTCCTGTGTCACCTCTACTGGGCTGTTATTGTTATTTTTTCCTTACGGATGCTGTCATTCCATACATCTCATTAACATGAGATTTTATTCATATATGTGCAAGATTGTAAGGCAAAGTTTCTCCCAGTTTTCCTTACTGAGTTTGATACTGAGATAGGCAGCCCTAAAGTGGGGCTTGGGCTGTGGCCTTCCGGTTGTCGAGTGCGCATGCATTTTTCCTTCCACAGAAAACATACAACCATGTTTCTGCCAACGTAGTTGACCAAGATAACCTGTTTTTTACTGTAAGTAAGAGACCTTCCTAGTCTCTGTTGCCTGTTCTGCTGCTGATGCTTATGGTATAAGCCTCAGGCAAAAGGAAATGACAGCAGAGCAGAGGGGAATGTTCAAGCCTAGCATAGCTGAGACGTGTTGGGAGCAGCCAACTATCCGACTGAGTCCAGGGTGCTAGGATCTCTATCTTTGTGGCAAGGAGAGCAGGAGCAAGAGCGGAGAGCAAGGGTGGATAGGGCCCCAACTGTGGTGGTCTTGGACTGGGCTGGTTGAGGCTTACCAGGCTGGTCCAAAGTCTGTGGCCTTTTGTCAGAATCTTTTTCATGAGATGGGGTGTCAGTATTTAGATGGAGGAGGCCATATGGAATTCAGAGTGCTTCTGACTGTTTTGAGATCATGGGGAGTGTCTTACACAGTTAGATATTGTTGTGTGTGTGGTGGTGGTGCTTTTGAAATTCTGTTTTAGGAGACAGATGCATATAATGAAGAGAGAAATAAGATAGGGCTGATCATTTTCTTTTTAATTGTTTTTCTCTTTGATAATTTTTAAGGCCATGATCTGAGAAAAAGGAAATAAAACTATCTTTAAATCTAAAAAATTATTATTTTAGACCTTCCTGATCTTAGCTATCTAATGTATATGAAATCAATTGATTTCAGCAGAGCTTTCTTATATCTGTCCTCACAATTGTTGATGCTTCTTTTATATCTGATGGCAGATTCCTATTTTCAGCTTTTTTAAAGTAGGTTTTTAAAATATTTACTAAAGCGTGTGTCATAGTTATTCATTCAATCTTGGCACTTCTAATTTCTACTTTGATTTTTTTCCCTTTTGATTTGAAAACCTCTTAGGGTTGTGGGAGTGGAGAGGTATATAGGGCTAAGTGTTGAGAACAGGGAATTAGGTTAGTAATAGTAGTCTGGCTGGGTAGATGTGAGTCCTGAGACAAAGTATGTTTCTCCGCTCTATCTCAGCTTCATGTGAGCCCAGCCAGTTTGTGCCCCAGTGCCTTTATCTGTAACTCATATTACAATACTTATTTGGAAAGTACTCCATATAATTGTTTTGAATTCTGCTTTTTTGACCTCAAAATGACATCGGTGGATGCGCTTGTTTCATCTCATCCTTATATGACACAATCTGTGTTCTTTTTCTTACATGTTAATATTTGCTTAAACAACTTTTAAATTCTTGGCCAGTGGATACCAGCTACAGTTGGAACCAAATTATACATATTTTAAAACTTTGATATTAGGCCCAGTGGTATTCCTAAAATAACCTGTCATAAAGTTCTGGTTTAATGGCATGTAGCTGAAGTTACGTGCTCCTATTTTTTTTAAAATAGAAATAATGTATTGAATAAACTGTGATTAACAACACACAACTTGCTGAAACAACAGTTTACCACATCATTCAAAAATGGTGTCTCTTTTAGCATCTATATATTAAACCATCCTGCCCTTAGGGTTCTAAGAACACAAATAGCGGAACATTTAAAAAAATGTATAGATTAAGAGGTAGGATCTTTTTGTGTTATTGTTTTTACATGCATGCTTTAAGCTAAGCTGACATTTTGTCCTCAGAGTCATTGAACCTATTTTATTAAAAATCTTCCCATCACAGTACCTGTTTTATATTTTTTGCTCACTAATGTGACATAACCAGATCAGTATCTATCTATAGGTATGTATAACGCCTGCTCTGCATCACACTGCTAAGTGGCAGCTCCTGTTATTTGGAAATGGTTATACCACAGCAGCATTAAAATGAATTTAAACACAGTACCAATGTCACATGCAATGGAATTCAAGAGTGAAGCCTGTTGTTGGAATTATGTAACTGGCCGTTTAAATCCCAGTTGTATTAAGTGCCAAAGTGCATTGCAAAGGACAATTTCTGTTTCACTCAAGTGGTAAAAGGCACAGTCAAAAGAAGTCATGCATTTTTTTAGCTGTGGTTAAAAAAAAAAAATACATAACCTAAAATTTACCATCTTACAGTTCGGTAGTATTCTGTATATCCATGTTTTTGTGGAAGGGTGTGCATTTTTATGTTGCACATGCTTTATGAAGACCAACACGGATCTTTTTTTGAGTTTCTTCAGTGGTATTCTCTGATTTGGGGGTAATATTTGAGACAAACCTTATATTTTTCCTCTTAGCACAACCTAAATAGAATTTGAAGCTTCTCCTATCACAGACTCTATGTGCAATTTATTGTTGGCCTGGTTAAGCAGCTGTGATGTTGTGTCATTAATACATTGATTTTGGCCCTCTTACTTTAGTAAGCTTTGCCATTGCAATTAATTGTACTTAAAAAAATCCTGGCATTCACAAAGATTCAGTGAAAGGCATCAGTTTTTATTACTCTGATGTTTACTTCTCAGCCCCTCCATTGGGGATTTTAGAACTTTGGATTGTGGCTTATATGCATTTAAGAGCCATGTATTTAAATTTGGAGCATGGTTGCATAAGCCACACTAGACTTGTTAATAAATAAGGCAGTCTAATTTACATCATTCATTATTTAATACAACTTGCAAGCTGGAGTTGAGAACATGCTGTCTTCGTAGTGTAGGTATTTACAGACAGCAGCTTGGCACAACCGTGTGGAGTCTTTTTAGTTTCATACCTTCAATCTCTGCCACATGGACACTTCTGTTACCCTGGGTAAACCGATGGAAAAGCCTTGTGACCCTTTTGACCCTACTTTCTTCCACCTCCCCTTCCATCACCCATTATTTACTATACAGGAAAATGGGTTTGATTTTTTTCTTCTCTGAAAAGTGATATTTCCTTATGGGAATTCAGAACGCTGGAGTTGAGAGAAGAGCCTGGGTTGTATGTTATTACAAGCAAGTAATGGGAAGTTGAAGCAATGTGGTCCCAGCTCCCTAGCGTCGAGTTTAGGTCTGTTTAAGGTCTCTCACTGTTTCTATCCCATAAACCTCTGTTTGTGTCTGTTTCAATATTCCCTTATAAAGATGTTTTCTAAGCTGAAGAGTTGGCTGAACAGCTGAGAGTTGAGGTCTCTTTCTCCCTAGGAATATTCTGTATGATCTCTTTGACTGTATCTAGGTCATAGGAGTATAAAAACTAGAGTTTTTGTTTAGCTAGGGAAGGGGAATTGAATTTCTTTTCTCTTTTACTTTCTTCTTCTTCTTTTTTTTTTTTTTTTGCCTTGAGTATTAAGCAAGTGAATCCAGTTTTAACCCATTGCTCATCTTAGGGAAAAAACATTATCAAACCATTATTGAATACCATAAACTGGCCTTATCCCTCTGGCTAACTTTACCACTTCTCTAGAAAGTTTCTTGTAGGTTCAGAAGCTATAGGGTAGGATGTGACATGAAAGACCTGCCTCTTGGAACAAGGCCAGTTTTTAGTCGCTCCTGATGCCTGTAATCAATGGGAGGATTTGGTGGAGAGACTATTGAGGCGTGGCAAAGTTTTTACTTGTTTGATGTGTGTTCATGAGAGAGAGAGAGGGAGAGAGAAAGAGAGAGGGAAGAAAAAAAAGCCCTGAATCTTGGATTATTTATAGTTGATCAATCATTTTTATAGTCTACTTGGTTGAGCTATTTTAAAACAAATCCCACCTCAAGCCTCAAATGGCAAAGATCTGAACTCCACTGTGGCCTGATAATTTTAGCTCACATTTGATTGCTGATCAATCTCCATTAGAAAAGTAAAGGTCCCATATAACTGGGTGCCTTCTCACCACTTAACTTTGCTCTCTGGGGTGTCCGAAGGACTGGGAAGTCATAAATATTGATCTGGGAGATGGATGAGTGAATGTGCCCA